TGTAGAAAAGAAAGCTCTCAGATAAATAAGTAGAAAGTGTATTTGTTTTATAACTCTCCTTGACTTACAAAAATTTAGAGAAAACTCAATATAAAAAGTAATCAAAGAGCATTCGTTAGCCAAAACACAAATAGGCTTGTAAATGCAAAATGTCTTCCTCTCTCAAAGTTTAATTAAGTGCCCAGTAAGCAAATCTCTTTTTTTTGGTTTTTGTTTTTTTTTTTTTTTGAGGCAGAGTCTTGCTTTGTCACCAGGCAGCAGGCTGGAGTGCAGTGGTGCGATCTCGGCTCACTGCAACCTCCGCCTCCCAGGTTCAAGCAATTCTCCTGCCTCAGCCTCCCGAGTAGCTGGGACTGCAGACACACGCCACCACGCCCAGCTAATTTTTGTATTTTTAGTAGAGATGGGGTTTCACCATGTTGGCCAGGATGGTCTGGATCTCTTGACCTCGTGATCCGCCCACCTTGGCCTCCCAAAGTGCTGGGATTACAGGCATGAGCCACATCGCCCGGCCCAAAATCTCTCCTCTTAAGCTGTCCTTGCTTCGTTTCCTATCTCTTTCTACATGCAAACCAGGAAAAAGAAGACTAAGAGCAATAATCTAAAAAGAAAATAATCTACTTTCTCATGGCAACATGAAATTAAAACAAAGTAATTAATTAAAAAATAAAAACAAAATTAAAATATCTTTATAATTTCCAGTACATAACTTTTAAGCTCCCAAGTGGCGTCAACTGAAGAGTTTTAAACCAGAAAAAGAAACATCTTAGGTTGGTTACATTGATTCTAATTTACATTTTTCCAGGCTTTTGCACTTCTCATTAGCTTCACCACGCAACCATTTTTCTGGCTTAAAATACACCTCCTAATACTATTGTAACATTCAATCTAAAAATTAAGCCTAGACTTTAAAGCAGACTGCAGGCCTCTGGCATTTTTTTCTCCTGGGAATAAACAGATTAGCCTTCCAGCTCAGCTCCTTCAGTTTCCTTCCAAGCACGAATGCAGGAAGTTGCTCAGAGACTCAGAATTGGATTCGCAATGCTAATATCCCTAAGTTCTGCAAATTGATATTATAAAGCTCTTGGCTGCCAGTCTCACCAATTCCTGCTTCTTTTCTGATATTATTACAGTACAGGGTTTCTCTTTTTCTGCAACTACAACTCAGTGAACTTCCATGGTTTCTTTTAAAAATTAGGCTAAAGCTGGCCATGTTGACACGTGCCTATAGTCCCAGCTACTGGGCAGGAGGCTTGCTAGGGCCCAGGTGGTCGAGGGTGCAGTGAGCTAAGATCATGCCACTGCACTCCAGCCTGGGCAACGATGAGGCCCCATCTCAAGATAAATTTTAAAAAAATAATAAATAAAATAAAATTCCGACTGACTCTGTGGCTGAGTTCAGGAACATTCCTATATCTCCAAGAAGAAGATAGTCTCCTTCCTAAAAATGAGCAAACAGAAATGAGCCAAAACAATTCTACAGCGTAAGAGACAGAGCCAAAGACGCCACCTCCTTCTGAAACAGATTCCTGGAAGGTAGAGAAAAAAAAAATTAATTCTTGCTTTGTGCTCATAATAAAAATTTATCTCTATAAAACTATGTGGGCATAACAAGGCCAAGATTTGACAATGCTACATAAAAACTAAAAGGGATAGAATCTAAAATTGTGCTGGCAAGCAAGAACAAAAACAACTTGACACTACTAAAAACTTAAGTGGAAACAAAGACAAAAACATTCTTCCAGAATGCAACCCTCCTCTCTCCCCAAAAAGAAAATCCAACCCAATCCTTGGGTATCAGTTGCTCTAGAAGGGGAAAACAGTAGTGGAAGAAACAATCTTGAAAAGAAAAATCAAAAGTGTTCATCGATCCAAGCAAAATGCATGGGGAATTTAAAAAAATATTTACATCCATAGATTTTTCTATAGGTATAAACATATCTCTCATCTTCAGGAAAGATTCTCTATAGTGACCTGACAGAGTCAAAGAAGCATTTTAGCCATAAAAATGTTATAAGAATTCCATCAAAACAGTTTATAAGCAAAGGAATAAAAAAATCACCTGTAAGACACATCTGAATGAGGTACCCTTTTTTTGAGAGGTGGGTAGAAATTGGCAAATAATTTCAATCAATTTTTCTTCCTGATTATTATTCCACTTATGTAATCTAATTGTCCTTAAGATAACTCTTATTAATTTATATATTTTTAAAAGTCTGTTGTAATGAGATTTTTCTAGGGCATTAGCATACAATTATGCATAGTGTTGTTTTATAATTTTAATACAGCTTCCCAATAGATAATAGACTTCACAATTTCCAGTGGAGAGGGTATCCTTATTATACAATTGACAGAGGTATTTTAATTTGTTTTTCCAAAAGAAATAGTCAAAATAACTAAGTAGGATTACTAGAAGTGCATATATAAAGTCACCAAGCCAATAAATCACAGTGAAATGAGAAAACACAGTATCATCTAAATAAATGTCAAAAGGACCTTTGATAAAATTCAACACAGATATAGATAAAACTCTGGAAAAATCTGTATCAAAATGTCAACAAAGCTTAGCATTCATCATGGGATTAAACATGAGGTTTTAATGTTTTCTTTTTGCTATGTCTCTTTCTAATGTTTTACAATAAATATATATAAATAAGAAAAATTATTAAGGCTTTATAAACCAAAATATAGTAAACTAAGAGAAACTAGAAGTGAATATTTATCAAACCTCTGAAGATAGAAGAGCAGAGAGCAGAGAGCAGGTTCTTCCCCAAGATATAGAAACAAATTGTAGGACAATTTTGTGTCTGCTCTGTCAGTGTGGCATTACTCATTTAGTAGATGTTGGTTTAAGGCTTGTTTTCATTATAACATATCTCTACTTATTTCTTGCTGGGTGAGACCAAGTGGCTAGACTGGCTTATGTCAGTTGCAATAATATTGACCAAAAATGTTAAATCAAAAAATGTTATATAGTCTACCATGTATAGTAAGATTCAGTTATGTTAAATATATTTCATATATTTTATCTAAGATATCATTATTTATCATATACATTTAATATTCCACTAGAAAAGAAAAAATACCAATTAAGATGTAATGTTTAATTACCTAGATTTTTATATTTATCAAAAGACCTTTTCCAAATTAATCTATATATAGATTTTTATCATGTAACATGCTGTTATTTCCATGTCTTTCTGGTTAGGTAGTAACTTTGCCTTATAATGCTAGATCATAGTGAAGTCATTTTGAAAGCAATTAACTTAAGTAGTACCAGCAAGATATATAAATAAACTGAAGTGACAACAATATGAACCCAGTGACCAAGGTCATACACATGTAGGTAATGACATCTGCCAGAAAGCACAGAGAATGTAAGAGCATCTCAATTTTAGAGATGTTAAAATGAGAAAAAAAAATTTACACCTTAAAATTAATAAAATATATTAATATTTTAATACAACAACATTATCCATGGAGGTAAGATTATGACTTATTTTCTTAACACTTCTCTGTACTTTTCATTTTACTCGAATCACCATTTTTTTAATTAACTAGAAAAACTTGTTTTTGTTTTCATTTGGTTCATTTAAATCTCTTCTCTCCTTGGGCAATGTGTATTTTGTTTTTTCCCCAAGACTGGTCACAATCTAGTAAGTCTATGTTCAAAATAGCTATATGGGGAGGTTGGTCAGCGACAGGGCTTCTATCCTGATTAGGCTTGTGGATTTGTTTGTCTGTTTTGAGGTAGGGGAGGAGGGCGGAATGAGTAAGGAATAGGAAGGCACATACAGAAAAAAACAACAGTAAGATTTGGGAGTACTTTACAATTTAGCCTCAGACTAGTCTTTTTTTACCTTTAATTATGGCTGGGCCAAGCCCAACTGTCTACAGACACATTTTATGGCCTGCAAATCACAACCTAGAGAGAGTACTAGAGATCACTGGGCAGCCCAAGGGCAGCTTTTCTATTATTCTGGAATGAATTTGGTTTATGACTCTGTCTTCCTCCAGAGAAGTAAGTGTCATGTGTGGAAGGGAGTGAGGGTGAGTGAGTAGGCACCTGGCTGGGTACTGAAGTGTGGGAAGTGGATGAATCTATTCTCATCAACTGAGGATTCTGATTAAATGTGCTCCAATTCCTTGAAATTCTGCTCTAAACCCCAGTTCCCTCACACATCCACGCTCACCTGCCCAGGCCCGCCCCACACCAACACAGTTCCTTTCCAAAGAAGGAAGTTTTGCCTGAAATCAGAAGGAAGGAGGAAACATGAGGCCATCTGCCATTTTCTTTCTTTCTTTTTTTTTTTTTTTTTTAAAGATGGGGTTTCACCATGACGGCCAGGCTGGTCTTGAACTCTTGACCTCAGGTGATCCACCCACCTTGGCCTCCCAAAGTGCTAGCATTACAGGCATGGGTCACCACGCCTGGCCCCATCTGCCATTTTCTGTGTGAGGAAACAATCTGTTCACTTCCCTGCTACCCCCAGTTGTTCTCAAAAATGGCATCCTCCTGGACCCAGATGGCACATCTAACTATGAATCTCACTGGGCATTCCTGTCCCCCAATACCCCCAACTCCCACTTCTGTTTATGTCCAGCATTTTTTGTTTGAAATCCTATTTTATACTTTTAGCTGACACAATTATCACAAAACCTTTCCCCAAAAAAGACACAAACAGAAAATCTTGACTATTATCAAGACATTATCATAAAATAATATGTTCACCTGCCACTTACATGAGTGAACTGTTTCTGAATCCAGAAATTACAGTTAAAAAAATACTGAGGGAAATATAAAATCCAGACTTGAAAACAGGAGCCAACCAGTTTTAAAAAGCTCCATGCAAATACTTGAACTAGACAGTAACACTCAGTGTGTTGTTTTTAAAAAGCCTTAACTTAATAGAAAGAAAAATATTTCTCCCACTTCAGTCACATGGTTTGGAGTTAAGAAAGGGCCCCTTGGACCTGAAGCCCAGTGCTTAGCAACTTACGTAAAGAGGTGCTTCGCTGCAGCTCAACTCCATGGCTTTCGCATCTGCAATGAAAATAATAAACAAGAGCAGTTATTGCGGGAGGCCCCGTGGAACCGACCAGCAGAGCTCTCTGTGTCCTGCCCTACAGTTATCAACATTGTGGAGGGAGGAGCAAGCTCATTTGATAGGAAAACTGCAGAGACAAAACATAAAAGAATAAAGGACTAAGATGTTATCTAAATAAAATATCCTCCCCTAGAACACAATATGATGGCCCCTCAAAAAATTACATGTAGAATTACCCTATGACTTAGCAATTCTACTTTCAGGTATATACTCAAAGAATTAAAAGCAGGGATTGAAAGAGATATTTTTATACCTATGTTCCTAGCAGCATTATTCACAATAGCCAAAGATAGAAAAACCCAAATGTCCATTGACAGATGGATGGATAATCAAAATGTGGTATACACATGCAATGGAATATTATCCTGCCTTGAAAAGAAACAAAATTCTGGTACATGCAATAACATGAATGAGCCAATCACAAAAGGACAAATACTGTATGATTCTACTTATATGAGGTACCTAGACAGTCAAGAAAAAGAAAAACTCATAGAAAAAGAAAGTAGACAAGAGATTACCAGAAGCCGGGGGCTGGGGAGAATAGAGAGTTATTATTTAATGGCTACAGAGTTTCAGTTTAGGAAGATAAAGAAGTTCTGGAGATGGATGGTGGGGGTGATGCTTGCACAATGTGAATGTACTTAATTCCACTGAGTTGTACCTGAAAAATGGCTCAAATGGTAAACCTTATGTATATTATCAAAATAAAAAATCATAGTAATTATAGTGCACATAGTGTCTATGAGGCAAAATAAAAATAATTTGAATTTGAAAAAATATATATCCCACCACCTTAATTATTTTATATTAGTTTCCACACATAAAGAAACTCTGTGACCCCAGACACTAACCCATATACTGCTCCTAAAATAAAAATATTTCAGAAAGCCAAGAAAGATCAACATAAGTATGTTGAAAGTTTCACCTATGTTCATTGCTTGGCTCAATTCCAAAGTCAGAGTCCACTTTTGGCCAGGTGAGGCAGAACAGCACAGTAACAAGATAGTTCGATTGCCTCTCCTACACAGACGGCCAGAGAGTTCAGCTGCACGATCGCATGGGTAGGATGCAGCCCATGGTCAAGCTAGCCAACCTGCCAGGTGTGTGTACCTGGATCTGCCTCTGGGTGTGCCCACCCCTTTAAAAATAGCACAGATGGATAGATAAACAAAATGTGGTGAATACATACATTGGAATGTTATTCAGCCTTAAAAAGATATACAATCCCGACAAATGCTACAACTGGCCAAGCCTTGACAACATTACCCTAAGTGAAATAAGCCAGACAGAAAGGATAAATACTATATGATGCCAGTTATATGAGGTACCTAAAGTAATTAAACATGAGTTTGACATAAGAAGCCGAAAAAAAAAAGATTGGTGATTGCTAGGGGTGGGGCACGGAGGAGTTTACTCTTTATAGGATATGAGCTTTCAGTTCTGCATAGATGACAGTGTTCCCGCGGTGGACAATGGTGATGGCTTCACGGCAACATGCTTAACACAACACTACTGGCCTGTGTTAAAAATGGTTAGGATGGTAAATTTTATGTTGTCTATTTTGCCACAATTAAAAATTTTAAAAAAAAAAAAAAAAAGCACTTCGAAACTTGTTTTCCACCAAGGGAAAAAAAAAAAAGACAGAATCACTCACTGAACACCAACTGTGGTCAGGTATTCCATCAAGATAATAAAGACATGCATTCTGGGTCCACCAGAAAGTGTTCCAACCCTCAAGGGGTTCCAAGATGAGCAAAAGAGAATGAAAGATTGGGAGAAAGGGAGGAGCAGGCTGCATGAGAATTCTAAATGGGGCAGACAGGGAGACTCACTGGTCCCCACACCCTTGTCTCCCTCGTGCTGCACACTTGAGGCCTGGGTTCTACTCCTTAAGCCAAGCCTGGCTCTGCATCCTCCACCTCCTGGGTTCAGGTGATTCTTCTGCCTTAGCCTCCTGAGTGGCTGGCATTACAGGCATGCGCCACCATGCCCAGCCTCAGCCCTGCTGCAGTACTTTAAGGATTTCTCTTAAGAATGGATTGTGGGGCTGGGCGTGGTGGCTCACACCTATAATCCCAGCACTTTGGGAGGCTGAGGTGGGTGAATCACCTGAGGTTAGGAGTTTAAGACCAGCCTGACCAACATGGTGAAACTCTATCTCTACTAAAATACAAAAATTAGCTGGGCGTGGTAACGAGAACCTGAAATCACAGCGACTTCAGAGGCTGAGGCAGGAGAATCACTTGAACCCGGGAGGAAATGGTTGCAATGAGCCAAGATTGAGCCATTGCACACCAGCCTGGGCAATAAGAGCAAAACCCTGTCTCAAAGAAAGAAAAAAAAAAAAAAAAAAAGAATTGTGACATTTTATACAGTAATCCTGAGAGGATACACTTGACAAGAAAGAGTATTTTCTGAAACATCCTATTTATAGGAATTTTTTATAAAACCATTTAAATTAAGTTTTACTAATACTTCACATACACACTGGTGATAGCATCCTCCTAGGTCCCCAGTCATGTTTCATGAGACATCTTGAGAGATGACAGAGGGTCCTACAAAGCAAAGGGTTTAACAGCAGGGCCCTTCTCAGCCCTCACTTTTATTTAAAATATCATGCCCTGTGGCAGTTTATGTGGACCCACTTAAATGAGTTTATAGAGATTCTCCTGCTTAACCACATGGTTAAGACGATAGATGTGCTAAATTGTATTTTTTTTTTTTTTTTTTTTTTTTTTTTTAGAGACAGGGTGTCACTATGTTGTTCAGGCTGGTCTCCAACCCCTGGCCTCAAGCGATCCTCCTGCCTTGGACTACCACAGTGCTGGGATTACAGGAAACAATCATCAATTTTTGTTTTTTTTTAAGACAGAGTCTCACTCTGTTGTCCAGGCTAGAGTGCCGTGGCATGATCTCAGCTCACTGTAACCTCTGCCTCCCAGGCTCAAACAATTCTTGTACCTTAGCCTTTTGAATAGCTGGCACTACAGGCATGCACCAACTGCCAAGCTAATTTTTGTATTTTTAGTAGAGACGAGGTTTCACCATGTTTGGCCAGGAGGGTCTCCAACTCCCGACTTCAAGTGATCCTCCTGCTTCAGCCTCCCAAAGTTTTGGGATTACAGGTGTGAGCCACCATGCCCGGCCTATAATCATCCATTTTTAATGAAACGAACTTTGCAAACCAGAATCTGAGAAAGAAACTTCAAATTAAACATAATATTAACAAGAATATGAAAAAACTGAGACTCCTATTCCAAATATAAATTCTTCACCAGCCACCCATAAATAAAAATAATGACCAACCCAAGAACATTAACAAGCTGATCCCTCCAAAATTCTAAATTATCAAGAAGGCATTTTAAAAATGAATTTATATCCACTAGCATATACTATGATCCTCCCCTAAAATGTCTGCTGCACTTTAAGATATTCCAGTCCTTCACAAAATTTCCTTAATTTGATGATAAAATTAGAAGAACCTTAGGTATTTTTGTACATAATCCCAGGACTTTGGAATATCCACTTAATAGCCAAAAAAAAAAAAAAAAATGCATTACTATAGGAAATGTGGTGGCTAAAAAAATAGGTAAAATGATACAGAGAAATAAAGCATTCCTTGGCCAGTCTTGGTGGCTCATGCCTGTAATCCCATCACTTTGGGAGGCCAAGGTGGGTGGATCGCTTGAGCCCAGGAGTTTGAGACCAGCCTGCGCAACATGGCATAACTCTGTCACTAAAGAAAAAGAAAAGATAAAATGCATTCCTTATGAGTAAAACTAGTAAAGACTGTTGAATATTTTAAGAAACAAGTTTATTAGAACAAATTCGATTATGCAAGAAGTTTGCTATACACTTAGTAAAAAGTACAGCTGCTTTTCACAACTCAACTTGCGGCATTTGCTAGATTTTATATGATAATAAAACATACTAAAAATTTTTTTATGTTTTATTTCAAAAGATTTATTTGGAGAAACAGGTGGTGTCTGGTTACATAGATAAGCTCTTTAGCGGTGATTTCTAAGATTTTGGTGCACCTACACCTGAGCAGTACATACTGTACCCAATTTGTAGTCTTTTATCCCTCACTCTTCTCCCATACAAAACCCATCATTTTAAGTGAGAATATGGAGACACATTCTGAAGAGTAAATTACTTTCTTTTTGTGACAGAGTGTCGCTCTGTTGCCCAGGCTGGGATGCAGTGGCTCAATCTCGGCTGACTGAAAGCTCCACCTCCTGGGTTCAAGTGATTCTCCTGTCTCAGCCTCTGAGTAGCTGGGACTACAGGCACTCGCCACCACACCCAGCTAATTTTTATATTATTAGTAGAGATGGGGTTTCACCATTTTGGCCAGGCTGGTCTTGAACTCCTTACCTCAGGTGATCCACCTACCTTGGCCTCCCAAAGTGCTGGGATTACAGGTATGAGCCACGGCACCCAGCCATGAATTCCTTTTTTAATAAAAAATAGTGTTCTATTGAAAACTGTTCAAGTATAACCACTGGTAAGGCAGTTGCTCTTATAAGAAGTTTAAAAAACACCACACACAATATTCATTCATTTGGTCATTCACGAGCAAGCTATCACAATGAAGAACTTGAATCCAAAAGCACAAAAATGTTCTATGGAACATTATTCAATCAACATGGTTAATTTTGTAGAAATAAGAACTTCAATGTAGTCAAATATCTGCAATTTATTTAATGAGATAGGAAGTAACCGTAAAAATCTATACTATGTTGAGATGTGCTGGTTATACTGTGGCAAAGTACTTTAAAAAGTTGTCAAACTTAAACATGGGCTAGATGATTTTCTCTTACAAAAATAGAAGTGTTATAAACCTACTGGTTTTTCAAACAATTAGCCTGTTCCTTTGAAAAAAACAAGTGTTGCTTTCTTTTTCTTTTTCTCTTATTGACCTGCCACTTCAAAA